TGTGTGTGTGTGTGTGTGTGTGTGTGTGTGTGTGTGTGTGTTGTCATATCCGATATACACTCAGAAAAAAGCATGACTGTGCCGAAGAGACTGTTTCGTCGGACTTACACCGACTCATCAGGAGGTTGAACCCCGACAAACAGTCTGCCCAGGATGCATTTGACTGATGGATAAGGAAGCACTCACCAACATCGACCAGAGTTAAGCGATACCCGCCTGAGAGAAAAAGTCGTCGACTTGAATCACACCAACCCTTATTGTAGCCCCCCTCCGATTCCACCAGGATTTGAATTTTGAACTCGTGACCAGTTTGCTAACAGTTACCATCCCACCACATGGGATCGGTTATCTGTTCAAAATTTGAATCATCAACCCACAAAGTAACGACTCGCTGGAATAGTAGGAGTAACAGTTCCATACATGTTCACTCCAGCACGTTTTGTGCCTGATCCCTTTTTTTAAGTTTTTTTTTTCTTTTTTTCTTTTTTTAACAGTGTCATCATCACCTCGTCAGTTTATGCCTGATCTACACGTGACGACGCCATTCAAGTTAATTACCTGACTGAGGGCCGTTCGATCGAGATGCAACAACTTCCTTGGTCGTGTTCGCCCATGTCCTCGCCACAGGGGTGTTCCCTGTCGTGCCTGTCATTACGGCAGTAGAAATCCCTGCGGTGCGAACATCATCGTCGTCCCTGCCCATGCCCTTGTGAGAAGGCGCAGAGTCATATCTGCCCCCTTTGCTATACTTTCCATCATCGATTTTCACCTTCGTCCCTCGGCTAAATGTCAAAAGCCGGAGAAGCTTCCGAAGTGGCACACTTGCTAGTCCCCTGCAAAGGACCACATGCAGATAGGATACTCAAACCACAGCTTCCACGGAAGCATGCTGGCTGTTCGCCTGCCGACAAATTTCAGCACATGTGCATGTTTCATACATGTGCTGTAGACTGTCACCGCAACAACCCCTTTTCCACCCAGATGAGCCGATCCAACATTGAAACACATTCGCGTCTATACTGAACAACACGAAGCACACTAAGATGAGCACAGCCCTTTCACTGAAACACCTTTTTACCTCTATAGCAAACAACTGAAGCACAATAAAACCCGTATTCACCATTTCCTTGTACAGTCCTATCTTTGCGTGCATGTTTGCCACAACAGTCGTATCTTTGTGGGTGTTGTCATATTCGCTATACACTGTATACGGTAGTATACACTCAGGAAAAGCATGACTGTGCCAGACTGTTTTGTCCGACTTTCACCTACTACAGCCCGTGTGTGTGTGTGTGTGTGTGTGTGTGTGTGCGTGTGTGCGTGTGTTTAAGGAACCCCAGATTCTCTCTCTCATTCCCTCCATGAACCATCATAAACCATCCATAAAACAAAACAAGTGTGTGTGTGTGTGTGTGTGTGTGTGTGTGTGTGTGTGTGTGCGTGTGTGTGTGTGTGTGTGTGTGTGTGTGTGTGTGTGTGTGTGTGTGTCGAAGTGCAATATGCAACCATAGCAACCCAATTATGAGGATCTCCATCAGCCATAGATTTACCATTAGTTCTGTGAGCGGTGGGAGTACATACCTTGTCGTTATAGGGCCGCAACCACCAGTCCTCGTATGCATCTGTTGGCAGCACTACACTTTAAACTTTAAAGCATAATGGGGGGGTAGAGAGAGAAGAGGATAGCAAAACAGAGAGGGAGGAAGTGGGGAGCATGATGGTCAATGCCATCAACACCAGTAGTATTGCTGGTGGAGGAGGGGTGGTGCATCCCCTAAAGTGCTTTTCGCCGCTTGCGCCGGTCACGGCTCATCAGAGGGTGGATATCCTCTGGCTCCCAAGTAGGTGGCGAGGGAAAAGGTTATGGGGGAACGAGGTGGAGTTGAGCTCAAGGGCTTATCTTACCATGTGTTCCATGATGTCTGTATCGGGGAGATTTTCCCTGATCTGCGCCATCGTACAGGACCTTGAAGTTGCCGCTCGTAATCGCAGGAGTGAATCACCGCAGGAGCGAATGACCGCAGGGTTTATTCTTGCTGCCGATTACAAAAAGACCGTTTGTCACAGAAGGTGCGGGAAGCACCAGCTATGGCATCTACGGATACAGCGCAACAGCCTACACCAATCAGCGGGCTAGGGTGGATAGTGTACCACACGAATGCGCCGCTTCAGAGAGAGAAGACTGTAGAAACGAGCGAGAGGGAGAAGTTGTGCAGGTGGGGGGAATATATGGTTGAGTAGGACATGGTGGGAGTCGTAGTGGCTGCGTAATCGCATGCGTGGGATCAAGCTGGGATGTCTCCAGCTCTGCGGATCCCCATGGGTCTGTGGGGGATACATGGTTAGGTACAGGGGGTAATAGCGATAGTCAATCCGGGGGTGGGGTTGGGATGTTTGTAGAAGGGGGTTGCAGGTAGTGATTGGGTGTTGAGGTAGGGAGCCATGGCTTTTTGGTGTAGCATTTTTTTTTTTTTTGGGGGGGGGGGAATTTTGTGTGCGGTGCCGGTATGTAGTTGTGTGCAGCAGCCTTCGGGTATGCGGGTGTGTTGCTCGTTTGGTAGTGCGCAGTGGTGTATGTTGTGCGCAGCAGCGTCCGGGTATGCGGGTGTGTTGCTCGTTTGGTAGTGCGCAGTGGTGGGTGGGCACATTTTTTTGGTGGTGAGTCAGTGAAGAGTTTTGGCATCGAGTGCGGATATGGTGGTGTGGTGGGTTGTAGCTTGCGTTGCGTGTGCGTTCCTTTTTGTCTTTTTGGTTGGCATGGTTGTGCAGTGGGTATGTTGTGTGCAGATCGTTGTCCGCAGGTTTTTGTTGTTTTTTTGTTTCATGTGCAGGATTGTCGATAGTGCTTTTTTCGGTTCGTCCATGGTGTGTGGTGTGGTGGGCCTGTGTCGTGTTGTGTCATTTCAGTTTTGTTTTTTACTTGTGATTTTGTTTTTTAGGTTTTAAATTGTTTTGTTAGCGTTGTGGGGCCTAATGTGTTCTTTGCTTGTGGGGTATGCGGGCCAGATATGTGGCACTGGGGAGCCTTATGTTTTTTTGTGTATGTGTTTATGAACGGGGGCGTATGTGTGTGTGTGTATATATGTGTCTAAAAGTTATTGCGCACATTATATATTTATGTGTGCATATTTCTTCGTATGTGTATATGTCTGTCTTTATTAGTGTAGGCCGTACTTATGCTTGTGACTGTGTGTATATACATATTTATATAGAAACAAAAATTATTTTTGGGTTGGTTTATTTGGTGATTGTTGGGGGGGGCTTTTTGGAGTTGGGTAAAATGTGTGTGTGTGTGTGTGTGCGTGCGTGTGTGTGTGTGTGTGTGTGTGTGTGTGTGTGTGTGTGTGTGTGTGTGTGTGTGTGT